TGAACACGACCTGTGGCCATGTTGAAGCAGTGCATCTCCTTTGCCAGCTCCATGGCGCTTGCATGCGGAAAGTCTTGAAGTAACAGCTCCAAACGTTCGAAATTAACTTTCGTTGGGCGTCCATCTTCGAGGTTGTAGTTTCCTTCGCGGAACCTTCTGAACCAAAGTTGGCAGGTTTTTTCACTTACCACTCCCTCTAGTTCTACAGAGCATATTTTGCGGCAGGCTTCGCTCGCTGTGGGGCCCAGACAAAATTCGCAAAGAAGTCAGTGGGGTACATGGGTAGAAACGTATGGCATTTTCCAGGCTCCAAAAAGCGTGCAGGAGGTGAGACTCGGAGAATATGAAGGAATATCACCACTCCTGTATATGGTTAAAAATTTCCCCTCCAGGTTAATGCGCAGCCGTTTGTGAGGACTTTGAAAAAATGCGCCAGGACTTTCGTTGCGACCTAATATTATTCGTGAAGTATACGCGTTTCACAAACGAAGACTGGATTCGAAGTGAAGCGTAACTTCTTCTTGACAAGGGTGATCTCCAAATCTCTAAGGAACCCTACATTCCTAGGAGTACAGTTGCAACTGTGATCAAGAATCATTCTCAAACTGTTCTTAAGAACAAGGTGGTACAGAAGTCAGTTGTTCCTGAGCGCGGCAGGCGCTGCTTGATTAATTTGGCATTGAGTTCCACAAAGGTTGCCTATGAATCGGTTGTCGCTTGCGGGATTGTCGTTTTGAAATGGACCGTGTCTCGTATGTTGAAAATATCGGACCACATAGTTCGACAATAAAATAAAGCCGACACTACGCCTGACTCAATATCATCGACATAAGCGGCTCCCTCTTGCGAGGAATGAGAATTAACAGAGATTGGGCAGCGGAGTGTTCTGGGCACATTTCCAGCTTTATGTTAAATTTAAATTTCTCATTTCTATTTTTCCTACGGTAATTTCTTTCGATGACATTTTGTTTCGGCGGAGGATGAGAGTCGTGCTAACGGCACTCGAAACTGGCGCTCTTGCAGAAGTGAACCACTACTGGTGCCTCGAAGCAACATCGGTGCCTTCTCCTAAATGGTTTGGTGGGCATCCTCTAGTGATGGTAGCCTTGAGATTCATTTTGATTCTTGTGAATGAGAAGCCAGAACTATCAGTCACTCCTCAACAACACGTTGGTACCATTCGTTTCTTGAGACTTCAACAAACACTTCATCTTCGTGCAAAAGAACGCTTCGAACCACACTTCGTGAAGCACTCTGTCCCACTTTCAATCTAATAACAACCCATTATTTTCATCGCCGGTATGTAATCCTGATACAAACCCTATCGGGAATACATAGGGTATACTGACGCGTAAGATCTACTGAAATGGGAAAGCGTATGACAATGTTCAGCCGCTAAGAAATACCATTACAAAGGAGTGGAAAACTCTACCGCCTCTGCTGCTTAGAATGCGCTGATTCAAAATCTGATTTCCAGTCCCAAGCTCACTGAGAAGAGAAGAATGGACGCTTTGCTCATACTTAGATGGGAGGAGCAGACTTTACGTCTTGTTTTTATGATCCACAATACATATCGTCCAATCTATTATGCACCGCCTCAAAAAGTGAAAAATTGTTGTCACAAACTTTAAAAAAGTCGTAATGTCAAATAAGTATCACAGATATTATTCCTTCGTCTATTTCTAAACTATAGTATAGGCAGAAGCAACAAAAGTTTCCGGCTCTCAAGAAAATTAGGTTTTCTATGGGGTGCAATCTATTGTGCACCGCGGTGTATGGTGCACTCCAGTCTTCCTCAAAGCTTCTTTAACACATTGACGACAACGCGAGTTTTGGCTTTTTTGGCCACGTGGGACCGCGGCGATTTTGCGGGCGCGCTCGCCTCAGGTCGTTCAAGCAGATTTTGAGTGATAAATGCACAACTAATGATCAATTCATAACCAAATCAGTAAATTGTAATGAGCACAACATACCCACAGTGTACAGTAGTGGAATTTCCATTGAATGACATGAAATGACAATGGAAAAGCGAAATTAGTCAGAACTAGCTGCAATGGACTTCAAAAGCAATTTTACGTTGATTATTCCAATCAAAACACACATGTTGTCATCCCTAAGGTTCCTTATCTACTTCTACTACTATTTAAATCTTCACATTAATAAAAAGAAAAAGTAAACGAAAAATTTATTGAAATGAAGATTTCGTATGGTTCAGAAATCCTCCTCTAAATTAAAGTATACGTGACCATTCTAAGGGCCACTATGTTTGTAGCTACGTCAAGGTCTCTTCCATGGAATGAATACAAGAAACTTCTAAAAGAATCAGGCGTGCGCGAAAAAAATGAGTGTAATGGGTGCGGGGGATATATATCCCGCACGGTCCGACATGGCCTGCAATGCGCGGGATATATATCCCCCGCGTTGTCGTCAATGTGTTAAACACATTCGTAGCGTGGGCTATCAATGTATGCAGATCGGAAGAGAGGACTCCCCTTACCCCCCCCCCCCAAACCTTGCCTGTGTAAGTAGCTGGATTAAGGAAGCTGGAGGTGTCGGTCGCGCTTTGATTCCGAAATTAGCCCCATGTGACGGACGGCTCTTCCGGAGGTGCACTGTTCAACTAACGTGACTTGTATGACGACTATAGTTCGAGTGCGATCGGACTACGGGTCAGATGAAGGCGCTCAGTCTTCAATAACTTTATTTCCAGAACAGCATCATCAATCATTCATTCGTAAGGGAAATTACAGTTGCCTCTAATCGAGCGGCAGCTACTATGCGCAAGAAAGCGCCTGATATTCAGAACCATCGGTGGAACACGCCTATTGATGAACATTCGAGCGTCCCATACATCTTAATAAAAACATTATTGTCATGCATCTTGTCTTTTTCACTTGTAGTTGCGAAATGAGCATAGCATGAAACCGGATTGAGAATTGCCTCAATCGGTCCGCGTCATTTAGCACTTACTTGATGACATCGACATGGTTCGGGTCGCTTTGGGCGAGTGGTAGTATGACCTGCAGGCTTTGACTTAGGACGCACGTCGCAAATCACCTGAATAACCGTGGACTTCTGTTCTGTTAAACTACAGGAACCTGCTTATGCTACGAATGTTCTCCATTAATATTCAAATACTTTCAAATTTACGGTGCTAACTTAGTTGGGGGGGGGGCACGCGGCGGCGCGGCAGTCTGCTCGCCTGGCATGTTCGGAAATCCGTGGGCCAGGGGGAGTGTAGGCAGTCTAGGGGGGGGGTGGGGGCAGTCACTTGACATGCGTGAAAAGCTGGAATGTTCGAGTTTACACTGTCTCGCTCGAGAGAGCCCAGGTGAGCAGACTGCCGCGCCGCCGCGTGCCCCCCCCCCAACTAAGTTAGCACCATTTACCAGGAGTTACAGTAGTGGAATTTCGACCAAATTTGCGTGTTATGGTTACGAGGAAGCCAAATTTCACTTATTTTCGGTTTAGGGGTTCCGAAATTATTTTGCACGTGGTTGTTTAACTAAAAACATACAATTTCATGTTGAGCCAGATTTATAATGCGCTTTCTGTTATTCCTTTTCACGATGCGTTTATCATTTAATGAAAAGAGAATGAAGGAATGAAACTGAACGGAATATTTTTCGTGACGGTCTTGGAAACCTCTGCTTAAACTAAAGATTTTGCCATTTTTTAAGACCACACTGGTTTTTGGATTAGTTGAATGTTTTGGTATGATTAGAACAAAAAAAAACACAAAAAACTTGGCGTAAAAATCAGGCATATGTCGAAAAATGTTAGTGGCATGTGGATACATTCGTTGTCGTCAAGGTGTTAACAGACTTGTTCCTTCTCCATGTTGCATGACAGATCCCAAGTCACATCGTTATATTCAAAACTCTGGGAATTTGAAAATCTGCTTAATGTGCCGATCAAAAATTAACAAATTCAGAATAACGTGGGCAAAACTCGCCTCAGGCCGGGATTCGTACCCGAATCCTTACTTTCCGAGCATGGAAACTAGCCCGGAAAGCAAGAGATCCGGGTACGAATCCCGGCCGGGGCGAAAAATTTACTCACAACTCAGTATTCTTGTGATGTCATAAGATTCGTTCTTCAGAGGCCTTTTTTATATTAACTCATGGAATCAAGGAGGCCAAAAGATACAACATACATCACACCTGAGGCTATTGCTTTCTTGCTACAAGGCTAACAGCACCAGCTGTTTATGGTGATGCCATTGATATTTCTAATGTGCACATTCCACCGTCGCTAAAGGATCAGGAGTCTACACTTAAATATTACCAGGTTTCCTTCCGGAGCAAGCCTCTAGCTCTCGTCTTGCACTGCACGTATTGAGCTAAGTTTTTAGTTCGTTGTCCCTAATTGGCAATGCTCAGCGTCTCAGTATTCTAAGATGATTTGATGATGGTCTTATCCTCCTTAGCATCTTTTTAGGACTTTTCTTGTCTTTTTGTGGAGTTTAATTTTTATATACTTTGAACCTTGCCTTTACGAGCCATCTTCATGTGTTTGACGGCATGTCTTTTGACGTACGAAACAATAAACAATAAACAATAAACATCCTGTTATTCGGAAGGGAAACGGATGAGGTGAGGAAAAGAATGCACGAAGAAATACGTTTCGGTGAGAACGTTTGATCACTTGCTGTTGATGCAGTAACTATGGATTCCATGAACGCTGCATGTGAAAGGGAACCAAAACTGTGACGGTAAATAAATTACAGCACATCGACTTTATTTGGAAAAAATTCTGAAGCAGCACAGCACGACTTTCTAAACAGCTGTAGGGAACTGATTAGCGATCTAACCTTTCATCAATCAAGTTTCTGACATTTAAATTCCACATAAAAATGCTTGATTGATGAATAACATGGAGTATTTTGGATTTTGCTAACATACTAACTCTACGATTTCCTTACAGAAGGATACAACAAAGTAACGAATTATCTTCAAATTTTCAACGGCCGAACTATTGGAAGGATGTGATGGATTGTCTTAGTGGCCCCCGGCGGCCAGTGCTTTTCTGATGTTCACATCCAAATTTTCAGAATTGGCATCAGTCGAGGTTCGCGATAGGTTCAGCTGAAAAGAATACGTGAATTTCTATCTTCATGATGCAAAGGCACATTCCACGATTGGATAGGTTTGGGTTGCGCAGCCGACAATGGATGGGATCTGATAGTTGGTCCATCGCTGAGGAAACAGAAAATTGAAACTAGATTGTGCGCTCTTCTGTGGGCGGAGTTTGCGCGCCGCCCCTGCAGAATCGTTTTGGTTACCCCTTGTCACTGTAGAGAAATAGAGAGCCATCAAGTGAGATTCCCTGTCAATAGGGAGGTCTGATTAGTTGATTCCACCTCACCACAGTGCTTTACTCTCTACAGACTACAGGCACGCAAACTCCGCCCACAGGGCCAGCGCGCAACGTTTGGTATTTCTAGTGAATTTTTTTTGTTTTCTTCTATTGCGGGTGGACCAATTACACAACTACTCTCATTTTCGGACACAATAACACTCCCATTCCTAATCGCGGAATGTGCCTTTGACTATAGCACCATTCAGATTGGATCTAGCTGTCAGAAAGCGAGTCCTAAGCAAAATACAAGCAAAAAAGTAACCGACCCTTTCCATAGTCTTCTCGAGCTGTGCGCGTACAATTCCCGCATTCTTCATTACGTGATAGTCGATGAAGTTATTATTACACCACTCCTCGCTCTTGTTACCTGAATCACATGGCACACGTCAAGTTCACCTAAGCGCTTACCTCTTCCCAATTCCAGCGTACCAACAAAAACTTGGAGGCGGTCATTAGGTCCCATTTTTACTTTGCTACGAGAAACCTAAGCATGGACTCACTCTGCTTGAAAGCATTGTAAACATTCAGCAGTGTCAGACGATCTTCATGAACGTTGACAAATTGCGCTTTTGCCAAGTCGGCTTCCTTTTCCTTTCCAGCTGGTCTCAAGAAGCACTGCGGAACTGAAAACCGCAGTATAGTAAGGTTTTCGAAAAAGTTTACAGCAATATAAGTAAATATTTACATTATTTCGAAGAGCTTAAACCCAGTTTTTATAAAAAAAATTTATGCAAGAGCGAAATTCAGCTGCCGTCTTTTAATGTGAAGTTACTCAGACTATTTGATTTCGCTGTGCTGCTCTACCTTTCAGTTTCGAAATCCTCCCTTTCAATCGCCTTTCCTCTCTGACGTTTTATAGTAAGAACTCTATTCTCTTATTGATTGTTCTTGGATACCATAAAAAGCTGAGTTGGAATGAAATGGTGCCCCGGTAGCGTAACTGGTAGCGCACTTGCCCGGAAAGCGAGAGGTGCGGGTTCTAGTCCCGTCCTGGGGCGAAAGTTTTGTTCACAACCCAGCATTCTTGTGGTCGATCTCTTAACCCACCTCGGGTCCATCATCATCTACAAACTAGCCGCCGGCTGCCCAGTTCCCATGATCGCAGCCAGCTGCAATTATGTGTTTAGCAGCTGCCTGAGCAGGGTGCAGGTCAAACCTACGGTCCGCGACTAAAGCGGATCGTTGTTACTAGAAACAACGGGGGGTCGTACCTGGTTGAGTTTATAGGGGGTCGTATCCGCTTTAGTCGTGTGAAAGTACATGTGAGTTTGTGCCCCCCCCCCCCCCCCGCTCGACGGCATTTTTGGAGGAAAAAGGGCGGAGTTTGGTGGGTTGAGTGGTACCAGAATTAAATACTATAGAGAGGAATATATGGTGGTCGAGGTGTGGAAAAGGGGGTCGTACCAAGTCCACCTTGGGGGAGGGGGGTCGTAAAAATTTTTGAAAAAGTAACAACGATAGGACTGACCCTGAGCGGGTGGCTCCTAATAAGTTTGAGAAGTATCGCTTCTTATTTTTATTGTGGTTTAAGATCAGTAATCACGATCAAGTGGTACTGAACGCGGCGTGTGACGAAAAGGCAAAGACACAGATGGTCAGCGGACGAGACGTTTCGCGTATTGTACGATGTGGAACGTACTACAGCATATTATATTCAACTTTGATACCAAATCGTTACAGGATGCTTCTGCGACTCGTCCGCTGACGCGTCTGCGTCTCTACCTTCATGCCGCGCGAGAACCTCCTGTCGGATATCCGATAAAAAGGTTTGCAATGGGGAAACACATGCATCAATGGAAACGTAGCCAGGAGGCGAAGGAAACGAGATGATTGTTACGTCTTTGTGGCGAAAGTTGCGGAGGTTGCAATGCAGCAAGGCTCCGAGCTCAAAAACTCTCAAGTTGGGCTATGAAGTTTTCAATATCTTTATCATTGCCGTTCGATTTTCATTTCAGAAAAAAAGTTACCAAACTGCCATATGTCGGCCGTGTCCTATTTTTAGCGGGGCACCCACCAGCGCTCAGTATTCAAACCGCAAACCCGTCTAGCGAAGAAAGTGAGGGTGGCTGGTATTGGCGTTCTCTTCTGGTTTCTTCTTAACTGCCGTTCCATTTGGTACCTTGGCTTTAATATTTGATCAACACCATATTATTGCAGTCGCTGCCTCTAACTATCAGTTCTCTCCCTTTTTCTTTTGTTCGTAACTGATTTTCTTAGCAGCCCTTTTTATTAAAACAACAGTCTCAGCAGGATTAGCTTGTTAACTGCTATTTTAACGCTACCATGAAAAGCTGAGTTGGAATGAAATGGTGCCCCGGTAGCGTAACTGGTAGCGCACTTGCCCGGAAAGCGAGAGGTGCGGGTTCTAGTCCCGCCTGGGGCGAAAGTTTTGTTCACAACCCAGCATTCTTGTGAAACATTCTACTAGAGTTTCGCACTAAAGCTCTTCGATGGCCATGAATGTGGGTTGAAAATATTCATCTACAACCTGTGGACGGCTTGCTAACCTTTTGCCGATATCAAGCAATTTCTTGCCGCTAAATCACGATGGATGCAGTTCTTTCCTGTGCAGGTATCGCATACCCGCGCGGCCTGAACGATCCAATATGTTTTAGCCGTATTCGGTATCACATTTTTCCACCTACCTCTATCGTATAGACGATCCTTTCTCCAACCTCGATGGCACTTTTTTGCTTCTTAAGATGAGACTGTAAGTCCCCACCGGGGCAATACTCCATGACGATCAGTATGGGTGGGTGATCACATGCTACGCCAAACATCTGCAAATCATCATTCTGAGAGACCTACCTAGTCACTTAAACAAAAAGACCATGGCGAAAGTGCTCGGTATCAGGCGAACAATTGCACGCGGTGTTGTAAACTGACTATTAGTGTGGCTGCTGCCAAGGTCTGTACCTCAATGATATGATTGTGGACGTAATAACTCATCATCTGCGCCTCGCTCCGCATTTGATCTCGTGCCTCCTTGGTTTCTTGAAAACCTTTTGAGACTGATCCCTCATGACATATCTGAAGTTGACAGGCATATCCTTTCAGAGAAACATATGAAGAAACCTCAAAGAAGAAGGTGCCATGAATTGTCTCTAAATCCTTGATTATCGCGCAGTA